GCCGCAGCCATGTGCGGGGCCGCCACGGCAGCTGGGGGCGGTGGGCTTGGGGTCCTACCCCCTTAACAGTTCTGGAAACCGGCTTCGGGAGCAGTGGCCACCTCGGAGACTCAGCGAGGGGGGACATGTGGGCGCACTCGCTTTTCAGTGTAGGCATCTCGGTGTTGAAACCGTGGCCGAGGCTTGTCTGTCTTGAGCCAGGCATGGGAGCAGGGTCTCCCCTATGGCCTGGCAGGGGCAAAAGGATGCTTTGAGGCCAGTGCAAGCAGTGAAGAAATGTCTGGAAATCTTTGATAAAAGTCTGGTGGGTCAGCATCAATAACAGTAGGAAAGCTTTGGACCCAGGCATCTAGAGGAAAATGTGTTAAAATAGTGCTGCAGCCTTTGAGGAGAAGCTCACTCCAGTGAGGAAAGACTCTGGAGAGAGTGGATCATCTTCCAGTCATCACAAATTCGTTTGGTCAGCTTGTGTCTATACCTGTTCATCACACGTTGTATGTGTTCATGAGAAGAAGATAGAGCGCTGTTGATGTAAGTGAAACTAGCTGCCTCACACTGAGCCAGCACCTATTAGCCACCCCTGTGGTGGATATCTTTTCTATTAGCTGTAGAGCAGTAGAACCAAAGATACAGTTACTCAGCTTATTTGGTACGGTAGTTCTCATTCAAGCAGGGGGATAAGCTGAACTAATATGAAGTAGTTTGGATTGGTTTAATTGTACCCATGTTATTATCATGTACTGGTAGAACACCAAGGGAGGAAAAAAGTCATAAAACCCTGGTTAAAAGGGTAAGAAAATAAAGCTCTGATTATTGTTTGTAATAATATTTATAATGACGTAGTCACACAGAGCTCTACATGTGAACACAGTCTTGTTGTACTGACTTCTGTACAATCATGGAAGAAGGTCCTGGACCAAAAAGCATACCTATCTAATTATAGAGCAAGTGAAAATGGTTGGTTACCAGTGGTAGAGGAGATAAAAAGGGTAGACTCTGATCAGTATGACAGAGAGCGGCCTCCCTGTGCTAGCATCTTAACGACTTACAGCTGTCATAATAAAAGCCACAACAATGAGGAATGTTTGAGAACATAAATTAATCAAAAAGTTATGACTGTAGAAGAGTCTGTATGGCAAAGACATGACACTGGCTCAATCCTGCTAGTGATGGGTCAGAATCCTGGTGATAATTGTGAGATGAAAGTGCAAGGTGTGACATGTTGGCCTTTCATGAAAGGATAACAGGTGCAAAGTGAAACAAAAGAGGTTCCAATTGCATATAAGGAAACCTTTCCCCATTAAGGACAGTCAAGCATTGGAACTGCTTGCCCACAGAGGTTGTGCCATCTCCATGCTTGGAGATTTTCAAGTCCTAACTGTGTAAAGCCCTGAGCAACCTGATCTGATAGCTGACCTTGCTTTGAGGATGAGTTTGGACCAGAGACCTGCTGAATTCCCTTCCAACTTGAATTATCCTGTGGTCCTGTGATTGAATTCAGCAGTAGCAGAAAGGTAGAAAATCATCATTTTGCTACCGCGGTACAGCTGGAAAAGGTCTTGGCGTTCCCCAAAAGATCATACATTCAAAATGCTCCATTAGTATAAATATTCATAAAAACAAAGCTGAATTTTATGGGTAGAAGAGCTTGTGTGACAGGAAAGGATAAAACAGTTGCCCAAGATAATGGTTTACAGTGTGTTTGTTACTTCATCTCGTAAATAATCTAAATACACCGTGACTAAGGACACGGGAAAATCATATGATCAAAAGTTGAGGAAATTACAATTTTTGACTGTCTACATGTAGAACAAAGTTAGTTCCTACAACCTTGAGGCATCATTTTTACTAGGAAAAAAAGAAAGGATAATTCCTACTTTAAAATACTAGCATTTTATAGTTTTCATATACATTAGTGGGAAAAGTGAAAAAATAAATAGGCTTCATTTTATATTTTCAGTATTTTCAGTACTGTTATGCTACAGTTAGAGCTTGGTGAAAAATGTACAGCAAAGTCACTTTTGCTGACTGTCAACAAATTTTTTTAGAAATATATGATAAAGCACTGGCTGGGGAGAAGTTTATCTGGCTTCAAATAGCAATGGCTGGGAAGCTCAGAGATTCCAAGGATCTACAGATGGGATGGCCGTATCCTGCTTACTATTCTTTGACCAGATATCAGAGCATTTAGTTAGCTATCAAACAGAATAATTTATAATACAGTATGTTTGTAATTATTAAAATCAAACATTGCATCTAATTACTGAAAACTTGACATTAATAGTGCTTTGGATAAGCAAGCACTTGCCCAAGGAAAATACCACTGACTTAAGGGAAATTTGAGCTGCGTAAGTCCTGAATAAGAAATTGATCCCGCGTGTTCTTGGGAATGCCCTTAGATGACGGTTTCCTTTTGTCAGTTCTGAAATGTGGAGGAATTCTTGGGAATTCAGCAGCTAGACGCTAGCGCCAAAGAATGAGTCAGATCTTAAGACGTGTTTCTTACTGTACCTGGCTTTTCCTGGATTGCCTTCAGTGTGGTTTTTTTATCAGATTCTCCGGTAAAGTAGATGGTCTACCAAGTTGCATGTTTGTACTTTTTCAGTTTTAGGCAATGAAATTATTGGATATTAAGCACAGTAATTCTGCTTGGCAAAGAACTGCATGAACAACAAGTATGCTCTGCACTACTTCATATAATGAAAATCCTTTATTTTCCAAACCTTACCAGCCTCAACTTAAAATCTAAAGTGAAGTTCACTTTGACTCTATCTCATAGTAGGGTGTAACACAATGATGGAGCCACGCAAGTAAAATCTAAGCTCAAATTAGATTTGCTGAAGAAATCAGCCTTTTCAGAAATGTAGGAATGTTGCTATTTTGTTAAAAAAAAATCTGGCAAGTTGCTCTAAGTAATTCTTCACATATCACCAACCACTATTATGATGCATGAGAAGTGTTACACAGTGTATAAGAAACAAAAGTGGTTAAATACTAGCTAGAAACGGAAAGGATACTAAGCTGATCTTAGGACTAGGAAAAAGGAAAAGTAAACAATATAGCTAGAGTGAATTAAGCGTGCATTAATTTTTTTTTATAAATTTGTGTTAAAATGAGTTATTTGTAGTTTAAGGTTTATTAAAAAGATATGATGAACTGATTTCAGTTTCATATAGGTGAAAATTAAGAATAATTCCATTGACTGTAGTAGTTATGTCTCTGTAATTTTAGTGCAAATGACACAAGAGTGAGTCTCTGTATTTAAAAGTATAGTTCTGCTTGAAAAAGTCTGTAAAACAGATTTTGGGGTTCTGTCATTCTGCAGATAATGTAGTATGCTTGATTTGTGAGAAACTGTATTTTTTTTGAGCTGTGAACTCCAGAAATTATTCAGGCAACCAAGCTGCATCTGTTCCCATCTCTTCCTCTAGTCACCATTTATAATGGTCCTGGAGACTAAATTGTGACCTAATGATACTGTTCCATTGCCTTGAGCTGATTTATCAAAGTGTAACTAATTATAGATTAGTAAGTGATTCTCTTGTTGCTCTCTGGTAAAAAATCAACAGCAGCGCACACTTCCTTAACTTTTGACTCTGTAGTGTTAACAGGAATAAAAATCACTAACAGTTTTTTTTTCCTCTCACTGAGATCAGTTGATGTATCTTAGAATACCCACAGCTACAAAAGGTGTCCAACT